GCTGCTGCTCCATCCTAGTTTGGGATTCGTCGGCAGTACGCACCCACTGGGTTTCGAACCCAGGACCTTCCGGTTACAAGGCAAGCTCGTATACCATTCAGCCACTGGGACCCGATTCAATGGCTCGTGAATTCTAACTTCTACCAATTCGTTATTTAGCGCGACCCCAACCATTGTCGTTGGTGGGACATCCATCCACACACGTGACATCTAATTGGACCTCACTGGTCACGACTTCTCACTAGAACTGCAGGAAACTCCATCCTGTAGCAAGTCACTAGCGAGCATCAGATTAATTTTCTATAGTTTGGTTTTGTAGGTGTAAGTTATGTTTTTTATATTTTTACGAGTTGATCACTATAGAAAATTAATCTGATGCTCGCTAGTGACTAGCTACAGGATGGAGATTCCTGCAGTTCTAGTGAGAAGTCGTGACCAGTGAGGTCCAATTAGATGTCACGTGTGTGGATGGATGTCCCACCAACGACAATGGTTGGGGTCGCGCTAAATCACGAATCAGCAGAAGTTAGAATTCATGAGCCATTGAATCGGGTCCCAGTGGTTGAATGGTATACGAGGTTGCCTTGTAACCGGAAGGTCCTGGTTTCGAATCCCAGTGGGTGCGTACTGCCAATGATTCACAAACTAGGATGAAACAGCAGCTGTCCAGTACTCCCTGGTTTTAAATGCTTCTTTAACTGATATCAATCCGTGATCAACTCGTAAAAACTCAAATGAATGTCAAAATGAACTAGTGAGCAGCCTGACTGTGTATACCTCTCAATAAAGTACATTGTTACTTATATACAATAAATAAAAATAGACTAATTAGTCTCACTGTTAAAAATTACGTAATAAATAATCTGGTGAGGGTTATTCCGAGCCCCAAAAATGGTTTAAAATGAGGTTTATATTGCCATAAGACTCGTAAAGAATAAAAAGCTTCGTTAGTGTTGGCATTATTATTAGCAGTAATAACAGTAGTGGTAGTATTTCTGTTGAGTTATTATTATTTATTATTAGATGAGAAAGTCGCTATTAAAATGAATAACAAATTAACAAACATTGGACTTATATGTAGGCGACTTTCTTAGTGCTTATGAATTCATACTCGAACTTAATTTGACTTTAAGAAAAACTTTTAGCCAAATGACACTATAATGCACTCAAACTATTAAAATATTTTTGGGTATACTAAAGACACACAGTACAGAAATCTAATTGAGTTAAGTAGGGATCAATCAGGAGGGGAAATAATAGTCGACAGGTGTCGACTAAACTACTGTCTGGAGTTTTGTTCATTTTATGATTATTTTCCAAAGGAATTCAATGAATTCCACCAAATTAATGCAGATGTCTGTACCCTTTATCTTAATTTTAACTTAATGGATACAGCTTCTTATACATAGAAAGACTTGGAATAAAAATTTTTTATTGACATAATCAGCCTGGAGACTTTTAGTAGTTCATATGTGAAGAGTTCATTGTAGCAAGTGCTTATTTTCGAAGACATACAAGCATAAATAATTGTGATATTTAGCTACATAATTCTTTCTTTTAGCTCACTTAGTGTAAAATTAGGGAGCTGGTGAAGTAATTATCCTTTCCTCTTTTATTTGATGAACATACAAGGCTTAAAAACACCTATTTCTGCCGTATGCACGCTAAACCTGATCAGTTTAAATCAATGAAACCCTTTGAGTGCCACTATTATTGCCTCTGTACGGTATGTCTTGCTGAAGAATTTTGAAGATTATCAACATATTTAGCACCATAGAGATATTCATTTCATTGGCCTATAAAATTGCTTGTATGTAGTAACTTTAGCTTCTATACCACTCTCTACTAATTGTGAGACTACTTGGAAATAGAAAGCCGGTTGGTAAATCAGGCAAAAAATTCAGATAGTGAGAATTTTGATGGTTCAAGTTACATCAACATGTCATGTCTCCCTAGCTAAAGTAACAGGAGTAATAAATGTAGTTGACTTGAGATGTTATCAGACGTGGCTGAAATTCAAAGCCGACAACAACTGTTGTATAACTTCATTCAGCCCTAAAGTGTTAAGAAGAATTATCACGGAGATAAAGATATCTAGGCGATATCTACAAATGCTTTCCTTTCGTCGTTTTTTCTATATCTCATTCTGCATAACTTTATAACCTAAAACTAAATGTAGCATCATTTTGTGAACTAAAGAATCTAGTGCGTTGAAAATAATTCAATTAACAACCACATTATTTAGTAAAATAAGGAATATTAGTTGGAGGTGATACAAATATGATGAATTTGAACAAAGCAAGAATTACAGTTTTTGCAGAATGACGTGGCACCATCATTGTTGATTTCGTTGCCTTCTCGTCAGCTGCTTACAGGCCAAAGATATTCATTATTAAATATATCTAAAAAAACAGTTTTAAGATATGTGCACAGAGTTCATTTTAAACAAAAATCAATCGATCAATGTATGCATATATATGGGTTTTTGTTTAAAATGAACTTTGTGAAAGTATGTTAAAATTGTTTTTGTAGATATATTTAATAATGTCTTTGGTCTGTAAGCAGCTGATGAGAAGGCAATGAAATAAAAGATGGTACCACTTTATTCTGCAAAAACTATAGTTCTTGCTTTGTTCAAATTCATTAAGGGAATAAATGTATAAGATATAATGCAGAAAAACGCTTATCTAAAGACTCGTTTTTTACATTTCTAACTTGAAATAGTACCATAATTTACCTAATTCACACAGCAACCCTAAAACACCAGTGAACAATTGATTGATATAACATGAAATCACTCATTTTATTATGGTAATAAATTGGAATTAATTAACTTCCATGTTCTAAATGCACCCCGAAGAGAAACAGAAAAAATTTCTTGAATTATGGAATTCACATGAATATGCAATCTAGAGGCATGCATAGAAACTCCTAGCAAGCCTGTAAAGAAGCTCACCAAATAAAATCTCAACTTCAACGCTTGTCGTAAAGAAATAAAGTTTTATTTGACGTATTAAGAATACTTTCAAATCAGCATAACACCGCTGAAAAGCAGATGGTATAAAAGGAAACAGCTTGGTTCCTCAATAAAAACATTATGAAAAACAGAATCAACTCAGGCATAGAATAAAGGTGTCGAGGAATCAAAATCCTGACAAGTAGAAGGAACAAATAGCCAACCTAATTTAAAAACGAAGCTTGCCAGCTAATAGCAAAAATGTCTTCTGATCTGTAAATATTCACAGCTACATAATCAAAAAGAAGTCAATTCTGCACAATTCGGCTTATCATAGTAAATATAACTTACAAAACCTTCAGTCGAAAATCGCACACTTAATTACAGACATAAATATCTCGCACTATTCTTTATTTGGATATCAGGTAAAACGCAAAATAAATGATGGTAGCAAATTTTTTAATTGTTCGCATACCAGTATATCATGCTAGAAACAAGAAATTTTAAAATAAGACGAAGGGTGACAGACTAAAGAAACAGTGTGGTTTTACCACATAGAAACAAAAAATAATTACAATATGCTTATACTTATTGACCGGAGCAATTACGTGAGACTCGATCTAAGGTGAATTCACTGATGATTATAAAAATGGAAGATTTCAATATAGCAAAAATATTCATTCAGACATCTATATAACACAAAATAATCGAGCAACGAATATTGTTTTCGATAAATTCCTCGTCTGGCTCTACAATTATATATATATTTTATATACACAAAAGATTCTAGATTAGTAGTTAATAACAATATTGATGTTTTTTAAATAATATCGATTTGTAAAGTATGATCAATAGAATTACAGTTCATTAAAGATGCTTAAATTATAATAGTAATAAAGATATAATAGCGAATAGGATATCAACTGAAATTAGGGAAATCCCACAAAAATTCAGAATTATTCAAACCTAGATGGTCAAGGTAATGATAACGTCTGCACTAACTTCTTTTGGATCCATAAATTAGACTTGTTAATATGGATCCCAACAGCCTCAGCAATATCTAGTAATCGAACTCTTAAGGCGGAGTTGAGATTTGTTGGTATGCGGTAAATGACTCTGAAAGCCTGGTTAACATCGATCTTGTGTTCTGTATCCACAAGATGAGATAGAATAGCGCTACGAATGGATTTTGTTTGCCCTTTACTTAACCACGCAGGGTGATGTTCGGAAGTTCGACGAGAAACATGCCTAATTATGTGGCCTATGTAGCTGGCTCCACAGGAGCAGTTAAATTGGTAGATACACATGGAAGAGGCAAAATTAGGCGGTTTATCTTATACTCCCAAACGCAAAAAAGGAGTGGCTTTGAAGACACAGAGTAATTCAACAACAGGGAATGCTCTTTTTACCACATTTCTAATGCATTGTGTTAGTATCTCTCTGGTGTTGTCCCCAAGGAACTGCATCTGTAAGAATAAGGCCTTTTTTGGAACTATTGGTAACTGTTAGAATAAAATGCAATATTTTCGGTTTCGTCGTTATGCGACATTGTCATCAGTATTCATCGTTCGGAAGGATGACATTAAAATTTCAGCACTGGCGTTAAAGTTTCGGTGATCTGATGAAATGTCATAGTACTTAACAGTGCAGCGTCTTGCTTAAAAAGCTGAACATATCACAACTTAATTTTATTAAATACATCAACAAATGGATTTGATCATTAATGAATAAAAAAGTTTCTAACACTTAGTCAATCACTAATATATAGTTATAAAATAATAATATTTTATTATAATATTTTAGGCGAGTAAAATATCCATAGGTTTCACAGGAACTTCAATGCCATAAAAACAACTCCCAATAAACATATAACAATGCCGAATGAAGTTTGGCTTCAGTTGTTTGAATAAACTTCTTGTTTTGTGTCAAGCGGTAAAAACAGAATGTCAACCCGCATTTAATGCAAATCTAATAACAAAGCAGATGATTTATATCAATAAAAACAATGACCTAAATAGTAGTTACTAGGTTCTTTCTAACTCACCTTAAATTGATTTTCTTTTTGTAACCAGTTTAGCCTAGCTTTGTCAAACTCCAGTTGATTCTTATACAACTGACTGCTTAAACTTCGGATTTGATACTGTTCAGATGATAGTGTTTGTTTTAACTGTTCAATTTGTGCTTTTTGCTATGAAAAATATCAGCAAAAAATAGGATTATGACGGTGTCAATTTATTTGCTTCGTTGTAGGCGAATAACTGCATGTAACATTTAAGCTTTTCTATACTAATGGCAACCAAATTTGTCCGAACAGTTCTGCAGTAATTAGGTATCACGTGAAAAGTTGACAAATGTAAACATTTATATTTGCATAAATCTCAATTTTTCGATGAGATTTATACGAATATATATTTTTTACATCTGTCTATTTACATTATAGTTTAACGTTGTAATTGCTCCGTTTATACTGATCTGTGAGAACTAAGACGGTGAAGCTTTATTGAGAAACCATAGATTTGAGATGTAAACAGCCAATCAGTAGAGGGTTGCAGATGTAGTTATCGTTAATTTTTGCACTATTTATCAGAGTATGACTGAATTCATGGGTAAACTAGTGTTTCTTATATAATAAGAACATGAAGTAGTGATATTAATAATACAGCAAGCTATGAATACTTTGAGCATATTTATGATCATTATATGTCATGACATTTGGATACTAGATAGTATTGTTAAATTTCTTTTACATTAAACAGAATCTCGAGAAGTCGGGGATTTAGTTGAAGCACATAAAGATAAATAGCCGTGTATATTCTTGTGTAAATATTCTTTGTAATGATAAAGAATAAAATAATAAATACGGGGTGCCAAATAAATTACCAAAATCATCGAAGCACCGCAGGCTCCAAACAGCAGAGGCTATTGTGATTCGCCTCGAACAACCAGCGCTCTGTATCCAAAAGAAGCAAGTCCAGCCCCTACTATTGCCCTGGCCCTCAGTAGAAATTATAAACCCATGAATTTGTAATATTATCTTTCCTAATTCTTCTGACATTCAGCTTATCTTATGTTGATGCTTTTGAGCTGTAAACTGTTAATATTATTGATTTGATGTTATTTAAACAATAATGTTGTTCACAACAATAATTCATTTATTCACTATAATGTATGTATAAATGTAGAGCCTGATGATGAATTTATCGAAAAGAGTACTCTCTGTTCAGTATCCATTCTTTTGAAAATTCTACAATTATCAATATAATAATCTGAAAACTTAAGAGAAGGAAAGAGATGCTAAGCATAGAGAAGTAAACAGAGTGTATTTGAAAATTCATACAGATGCTCCAGGCCGTTATCCTTTTTCTCAAAACACAGGCAACATTATAAATCCTGCAGAAATCCCCTGTCGATTCTTAATTCCGAAATATACATAGTTATTACAATGACCTACGAGTTTACTACAATTTTCTGTCGATTGTAACAATGATGACTGGAGTTACAAGACAGTGAGTGAAACTTTAAAACCGTATATTTTTCCAAATAAATTTTAAAAATTCTTTGTTAAAGTGCCAATTAGAAGGAAGATAAGTTCTGTAGTGTTTTGCTATTCAAACTACTAAGAATGAAACTTTCAAATATATAATTAACGTTTCGAATCAGGGATAGAATATTAAGTTTCAAAACTGCCAATATTCCAGATAAGAAGGCACTATATCTCTACCAATACTGATACTAATTCACTTTGCATCATTATGAGAATGAGTTAAGTTTGAGGATTTGGAAAATAAAAAAATGAACGGAAAGAAAATGGACCGCTATATGGGGAGAGTTGGTTGAACAATTCCTCATTGTTCAGAGAATATAATCAGACTTTCCACATTATTAACCTCACCTAAATGACTAGCTCGATAGTTTTCTTGTCGGTCCCAAGCCCGGATAAAGAGGGAGGGTTGGGGCGTGGTGCTAGCAACTCCACCCCTGTAAAACAACCAAATCGCTACAGAAACTTCAACGAATAAATATATTAAAAATTCTAAAAACATAAGCAATAGCCTTACTTTTCGCTGGAATCGGGGAAGTGAAATGACGCAGGCTGGTGAAAGCCTTCGGGAAGCCAGTCAGCCGATGTGCCTTCTTTCGATGAAAGCAAAAGTAAGGATGGGTACCTGGAATGTTCGTACAATGTACGAAACTGGAAAGGCTGCCCAGATAGCCGCTGAAATGAGAAGGTACAGAATAGAAGTGTTGGGAATCTGCGAAAGCAGATGGAACGGAACTGGAAGGTGCCAACTACCTACTGGAGAGACAGTAATCTATTCCGGCCACCCAGAGGACAACCATGAGCACACCGAGGGAGTGGCCATCATGATGTCACCAACAGCAACCAAAGCTCTCATGCAGTGGGAACCAATCTCCTCCAGGATAATGACAGCCAGGTTCAACTCAAAAGGAAGGAAAGTTACAGTCATTCAATGCTATGCGCCTACAAACGTCTCAGAACAAGAGAAGAAGGAGGCGTTCTACAGACAACTACAAGCAATAATGGACAACGTCCCAAATGGCGATATCAAAATCCTGATGGGCGACATGAATGCGAAGCTGGGAGGAGACAACACAGGAAGAGAACTCACCATGGGTCGTGAGGCCCTCGGCGAAATGAACGACAATGGTGAACTCTTCTCAGACTTCTGCGCCTTCAATGATTTGGTGATTGGTGGTAGTGTGTTCAAACACAAGGATATACACAAGACGACATGGATTTCACCAGATGGAAACACCAAGAACCAAATAGACTTCATCTCAATTTCAAGAAAGTGGAGACGGAGCCTACTGGACACAAGGTCGAGGAGAGGAGCAGATGTGGGTTCAGACCACTATCTAGTACAAGGGACTTTCAAGGTGAAACTAAAAGCCTCGAGGATAGCTGGGGATAGGCCACAATGCAAGTTCAACACTCAAAACTGAAGGACACAACCACAAAAGACACTTTCACTGCAACTGTCAGAGCAAAGCAGGAAACACTACGCGACATCACTGAAGAATCATGCGTGGAAGAACATTGGAAGTCTCTGAAGGCGATTCTCAACGAAACGTGTTCAACGGTTCTAGGAAGAAAGAAGAGACAAGACAAGGAATGGCTCTCAACGGACACTTGGAAATTAATAGAAGAGAGGAGAATGGTGAAAGAGAAAATGATTCAATGCAAGGACGGACAGGAGAAGGAGACGCTGAGCTCAACTTACACAGCACTGGACAAAGAAGTGAAGAAGAGTGCTAGGAAGGACAAAAGACGATTCTACGACAACCTGGCCACTGAAGCTGAGAAGGCAGCAGGCAAAAGGGACCTGAGGACACTATATCAGATAACCAAATCTCTATCCGGGAAGAGATCAACACAAGCGAAACCTATAAAAGACAGCCAAGGGAACCCAATTACCAAGGAAGAAAAACAGATTAAACAATGGGCGGATCACTTCAAAGGACTCTTGAACCGACCATCACCTGCAACCCGTCCAGAAATACCAACAACAGCGCGCACACAACTGCAAGTTGACACCAATCCTCCAACGAGAGCTGAAGTCTTGAACACAATCAAGCTTCTGAAAGCTGGAAAAGCAGCCGGACCAGATGGAATACCCCCTGAAGCACTGAAAGCGAACCCAGAGACTACAGCAGACATGCTGACTCCATTATTGCAAAAGGTCTGGAAGGAGGGAAAGGTGCCTACTGACTGGAGGAAAGGTTACCTCGTGAAACTACCAAAGAAGGGCGACTTACGCCTCACTCTGCAAGAACTGGCGAGGAATCATGCTCCTGTCGACGCCAAGTAAAATCCTGAGTCGCATCATCCTGGAGAGATTAAAGGACGCACTGGAGACAGAACTCCGACCAGAACAAGCTGGATTCAGGAAAGTCAGGCAAATCATGTTCTGACCAAATTGCAACTCTACGCATCATCATCATCACAGAACAAAGCATGGAATGGCAATCAAACCTCTACCTCAACTTTATAGACTTTGAGAAGGCCTTCGACAGCGTTGACCGTGAAGTAATTTGGAAACTACTCGAGTACTACGGCGTACCCCAAATATTCATCAACCTTATTCAACAGCTTGTACGACAACGGCACATGTCAAGTGATCCACAACGGAAAACTCAGCGAGGCGTTTGGAGTAAACACAGGAGTCAGACAAGGGTGCTGCTTATTATCACCAATGATATTCCTAATTGTGGTGGACTGGATTATGCGTCAGACAGTGAGTGGGAAACGAGAAGACAGGAATATCCTGGACCGACGTGAAGAACCTAGAAGACCTGGATTTCGCGCATGGATGATTTATGTTTGATGTCACACAAAATCGAAGACTTACAAGCGAAAACCGACAAACTGGTCGAAGAAGCAGCCGGCGAAGACAGGACTCCAATGAACATAGACAAGACGGAGGTTATGAAAATAACCAACCAACAACAAGAACAAAGCAACATCCAACGTCAATCACCATCAACGGGAGGGATTTGAAAGAGGTTACTTCATTCACTCACTTATCTAGGGAGCATTGTCTCAACTACAGGAGTCGGAACGGACGAGGATGTCAAATCGAGCGAGAATCGGGAAGGCGAGAAACACATTCATCAACCTGAAATCAATCTGGAAATCTTCGTCACTCAGCCAGCATCAACAACAAAATTCGTCGGATTTTCAATACAAACGCCAAGTCAGTCAGTTCTTCTATACGGATCAGAAACTTGGCGGGCGGTCACAAAGAATATTTCCAACAGCCTGTTGCAGACCTTCATCAACCAACAACTGTCTTCGCTCAATCTTACTGAAGATCAGATGGCCGGGCCGGAAAGAATCACCAACAAGCAATTATGGGAACAAAGAAAACAAGAACAAACCAATCGCCCAACAAATATGCAGGAGGAAGTGGAGATGGATGGGAAACTCGTTGAGGAGGCCACTGGGTGACATCGCGCGTGCGTCAGACCATTGCTCGAGTGGAACCAGGCCGAAAGGAAAGCGGGGTGTGGGTCGTCAGTGCAAGAGTGACATGGAGGAGATCGTGTGAATAGGAGTTGAAAGAGTATGGACTAACATGGATGCATGTGAAAAGTACAGCAGAAGGAAGACAGAAGCAAGTGGAGACGTTCAGTTGGAGCCCTATGTTCCACTAGGAACCCAAGGGAGCAATAATAATTTTCCACATTATTAGTAAGGATAATAGCAATATACCAGATTATTATAATTCGACACCTACTTCAGCAATAAGTTTATTATTTTCATTAAGTAGAGGAGATATGTCGTCTCTTTTGGAATTAAAATTCAAAATATTACAGTCAGTTCCAACAGAATTTGTCGTTGGTTTGAAAGATGAGAATTGAATTGATTTAGAAGTCTTCGTACGTGAAGAACTGAACACTTCAGTAGTTTGCACTGCGCAGTCTGAAAATCCAAATGTTGACTCCGATCAAGAAAAATGTAAGAATTTATATATATATATATTGACCTGAAGAAACTTATATTGTATTCAGATGAAGATTCTCACCCTGATCATCATTGCTTAATTTTAAAAACTGTCTATTTCCCCTTCTCTTTAAGCCCTTTAAAAGTTACTATTGTTTTAAGTAGCTTCGACTCTTGCACTAATCGACTTCTTAATTTTATATGATTTTTAGTCTAGTATTATGTTTGCGCACTTTACCAACTTACACATGCATTTCAACCGTAATTTATTAACCTCAGCAACTTGATATTATAATAAGAAAAATAAAAAATTGCCGAAAGCGATTACTTTTTTTAAATATAGTGTATATAACTGCATTACTTGCTGAGGAAGGTATCGAAAAGATTATTGTTTGCTCGGTCTTTCTGTCTTATTATAATAGCTAAAACACTTATTGCATGAACATGCTTTTAATTTCCTGGAAATGCTGAAATTCAGAATAGTAATAAAGACTGATATGAATGGTTTGAATGGACTGCATTTGTACAGTCGGCTTTTCATATTAGAAGAGAAGAAATAACTGTGATATAAGCAGATTGACATAGTAAATTAAGATTTCAGAAGATCCTAGATGCTTCATCAGTATAATATAGTACCTAAATGATTGGTAGGGAATAAAAAGTATTTTTTATTTTTGATTGAAGCTTGATTCCACATTGTATTTTTGGTACAAGTATGGAATTTTCAGCATGGATATCGGTAGCCCAGATTTTGCAGGACGACCATAGATATCAGATGTGCGTCGGCAGGGGATCGAACCTCGGACCATGTGCATGGTCGGTGAGAGTCATAACCTCTGTGCCACCGACGCACACCAAATAATAGAGAACAGTTTAATTCTGCATCAGTCTGTTACATTTTAGCATAAAATGTTAACTTTCTTAGAATGTCGCTTATTTCGGCCTCTAAAACCCTGACTTACCCTTGTTTTAATTTATACATGTTTTGTGTAAGGAAGTATTTTTTATTTCATTGGATAAAGTATTTGATATTCTGTTGTTTTGAAACAGCATCACTTGATTACCTGGGATCACTTCAATGTTTGTAAGTTGCTATCTCATATATATATATATATACTATTCTACCCACTAACGCTTCCTACAGTTTCACAAGAAAAAGTACTTTAAATTTGCTCAACAAAATATCCATAAGTAATTGCTATGAAAAGCCTTAACTGGAAGGTCGCTATTTTGAGAGGTCTATGCAAGACGTTTATCGTATTTAATAACTTACTGCAATATGAAATAGAATTTATCACTTGAAGATTACACAATTCAAGATTTTTATGTGAAACAGTGTAGTTTGCAAATTACAAGTTTACTTTCACGTGATACTATTTTACACAATTAGGTTGGTGCCAGACAGTTTCCTATTTATTCACCACGTATTTTATTCCAGTGTTATGGGTTTAAAAAGTATATTCCTGAACTACTGATATAACTATCATAGTTTTAAATCGATGCGATATTAGTAACTAAAACTGATGATGCAGTAAAAACTTGCCTTGTTTTACAATTTTATTTTTTTCTTCACTTATTGAACTTATCTTTTTTACACTAATGGCTGGTTGTTCTGGGACTTCTGATGAAATGCAAACACCAGCAGATCCACTGTGATCTATCAGCTGGTCACTTCCATCTGTTAAGATATGAGAAAGTAGCAGGGATATATTCTCCTTAGTGTTTTCTTTCACCATATGCCGGGATTTCTTTGCTAGAGGTTTTCCCAAATGAGACTGATGAGTTACACCATTCTGTAGGTTTAAAATTTGAGAAACTACAGGGTTATTGCAAGATTCTATTACACATTCTGATGAAATATGAATCACTGAAATTGGGTTATACGATTAAATGTTAATACAAAAAAAACTAAGTTATTAACCATTTTGTGACTGGAAGTCTTTTTTAAAGAACCTATATTGTCAAGTAGGTTCAGGGAAAGCTACACAACGAAATAAATTCTGTCGGTTTGATTCAAGTCGCCTGAATTCATTCCTTAATAACCTTCGCAGCAGTAGATTTCTTGGTTATTACATCAGTCATTGCATGCAAAACGCCTATTTACCCTTATGACAACCTCTCAGCCTTAATTTTTCTTGTTGATTAATCGGAAAGCTGGCTGCTGTAGGGATTACATTGTCACCATTGATTACACATGTTTACATATGCATAAGTATATGCATATGTATTCTAATTTAGTTACATACTAAATGAATGTGCATTTTAATACAATAGAATATATATTGGATAGTATGATTTTTTCATCACTCTCACATGTAACACTTAATTTAAAAAATAAGATGTTCAGTAGTTAAACCAACTACTGACTTAGCCATATCTTCGGTTTTTATCCTTCGGCCTTTCAATTCACTTGAAAACTAACCTCAGACTCATTCTAATGTTTAGTATGCAGATATCATAGATTTGAAGAAACCTGCTTTGATTTAGCCCGTTAACTGACGGTGAATAGAATACATTTAACAATACATATGAAATGATCATACCTTGATTTATCTCTTGGAGGTTACTTAATGGACAAAAAGACGCCTCTTTGGTGTACATAAAAGATGAGGGACGTTATTCTCTATTGCCATGCAGCAGATACAAGTTTAAGGTTTTGGTTTATTAATCTAGACGCACATATTTAACGCAACTACTTAAAAACTAGTGGGCATACTAAATAGATCAAGTAAAGGGACTCGACCACAACTTCTCCACTTTAATAAGCACACGAAAAGAATATCTGCAGCTTTCTTAATTTACCTCAATGGATTATTCTGTGATTGTGGTCCTAAGGTTAGTGGCTTTTGTGTAAGGTAATCTAGGAATGGAACCCCTATACATTGAGTAATAAACCTTCATAAAATAGCCTCTATAGCTCAATTCTGAAAATCCAGTAGATCATGGCGAGTTCGACTAACGTATATCACATACCACATAGCTAAACCTTTGTTAACGCTGATCAGTAAGTCAGTGAGCTGGTCTAAACCTCCAGGGATTCAGAAGATGCAATGACTAGCCTAAACTTTGAACTTGGAATTATGATGAGAACTATTGGTCTAGCTTTAGTCTAACCAGTATTGTCATTTAATTACGTTAGCGAATCACATACGTTGTTGATATTCAGCATATTGAGAATAGTAGAATTTCACCGAGGAACATCATGACTTTGGGGCAGTTCAGTTTTCTCAACTGAACTTTTAGAAAATGGAAGGTTCGGGCTAATTCAGCCACCATCTTGCACAAGGCCTTTTATAAGGTTTTTTATTTGAGTTTCATAGTAAAGCTAGATATGAGTTTCTTTAAGATTGCATATACGCTTTATACCGAGTGATAATGAGCTTGAGACCTAGGTACACGGTTTCCTTCAGACTAAAAATATAGATATTCATGGAAGTAATAAATTATGGGTGACTGTGTTGAGGATTTCCTTGAAAATAGAGAACAGAGAAAAAGGTTATTAGGATCTTCTCAATAAAGCGACCGGTGAAGGGTAGCACTCCTCAAGGTGGGATTCTACTCTCTTGTATCTTCCACCTGTATATACACCGTTAGCTACTGGTGGAAAGGTTAACCTGTCCGGTGTTCGCCTACCATATCAATCTCTTTAGTGCCTTCTATAGTAATAAAGATCTACACACTTAGGGAAAAAATTTAGATATTTCGGTCGATAGACCTTGGAAGTGAATTTTGTTCACGGTAATATTCGCTAATACTCAAAAAATAGATTCTCTACATCAGCAGTAATCGGCATAAGAATACATCAGAGGTTTTAAACTGGGACATAAGGACCACAAAAAAAAAACAATATAGCATTCGAGTGTGAATACCATGCGTCCACCATGAAGCCTTTGCAATCTGTGATTTCAATGCTTTAAAGTCATGGTGGAGATTTATGTGTCAAGAATTCTGTTTCTTGCTCTGAAGTAAGAACCACAGAAGTCATTCACCGGACCCTATTGTTTCAAAAACATTTGGTGATCAACTGGAATCAGACCTGATATCTGCTCTACAGTAGACTGAAGGCACTGATTTAGGTATAAAGCTTGCCATCCTTAGCAACCTCAAACGTGTATGTTAATATTAGTGGAGTAGGATGTCATCCATTCAGAGAGTTTCCAGTGTGTTTGCGTATAGCTTCAGAGGTCGAAGGTTCGAAGCGTATTTAAAATCACATCTACATTTCTACTGTTGTTTGGTACAGACACACATTGAAGTACAACTAAAGGATTCTGGTGCACACTGTTTTTTTCCTCACTCATAAAATTTAAAGCAAACAAACATCTCATTACTGGGTTATTTTCACGATAGCTAAGTTAATCATTTTAAAGGGCAGTTAAGTTACACCTTGAAAAAACTTTCCAGTCGCATAAAGCTGTCGTGAAGTGTAAAAACTGACATATTAGCGAATACTAAAAATCATTAATGAAGTAGTTTAACGAAGTGATGAATATCTAGTCAAGTAAGAAACTAGAAAATTACCTTAATTGATGGAATTTCCTAGGATATAAATAAAACCCCATGAGAAACATTTAGATAAAGTTCTCTACAAATCACAGTTCTAAACATCCTGTGAGATGTTTAAAGTGAGATAATAAAAATGCGTGATTTAACTTCTCTTAAGCTCAAGGAAGTTGATGAAATGTTTGCAATGAGAGCCATTTGGAAAAAACCCAAGAATCACCTACATTTTGTTTTCCTAGAGTAGACTTCCTATAAAAAGAGTTCGATTTCACAATAAAGACCTCACTTTTGTCCTAATAGTTGAAGAGGACTAGACCTCAAATTAGGTTGAGGTTTGACATTTAGGGAAGTTTTGCTTGGTTTACGGATATTTTCCTGTTGCATATGACTTTTTTCTGCACATCGACCTATATTATCCTTCAGCATCATTTGGGCCATAATTTCTGTTAACGAGTAGATTGGGGAAAATAATTTGTAAAACGTACTTTCACAGAGTTCGATATTTTCCAATAAACCTTTTTGTTCCGCTATAGGACGTTTATTGCCTTCACGTGGAAAGCTTAATAACAGCATCTTACCTAAGTTATTTGTGCCTCCATTAGTTCCACTCATGGCTTAAGTGCCGATAACAGCCAACCATTTTCAAAAAGCCTCTTTTCTATCACCAAACAGTATCCAATGTCCAATGTCTGATAAGTTATCCTCCGTGGATTGCCACGACGAAAATCATTTTTAATTTAATTACAAAATACATTTGTTTGTGTGAGTCTGGTTATTTTTAGTCTCATCGGCAGTAATGAATTTTTTTTTTGACTAGACACAAGTCAGTAACTAGTGTAATATGTCTAGACCTATCTTCGGTGCAGACTGAAGTAATGAAGTCTTCCATATGCCAACGGTGAAGCGTGGGTGTGGAAAAATGGTTTTCTCAAGTTTTCATAATATGTATTGCTCTGGAGATCAGTCATCCCTTCTATTACCAATCTCTGAACACTTTCTGAGGGACTGCCATTTCCTCTGAGCAGTGGAGAATCGGTGGTGTGGTGCACCGCGAAATGTTCAGCCTTGGGAAAAGTTCAGTAGTAAGCCCTCCTAACTTTCAGTTAGTAGACTGTGTAATGCCTTTGCTAAATCGCCCTTGTATTTCACTTTTATCGTGAGAACCAGACCTACGTCGCGCCCCAAATTACATTCAGCTGCCTGCAGGAACTTAGTTGCCCGTTTTCAGATTGAAAGCCGAATCACTGGTCAGTAAACGATCTTTATACTTTCAGATCTGTGTGAGTCTTGTGGGCATGTTATTGCTTTCTAAATCTTTGCATCATCGGCGTGAAAATGAGTGTAGTTTAGGAGGCATGACAGGTCACTGATGAAAAGTAAAACTCCAGGTGCCAAAGGATAGAAACACATGAAACCACAGATGTCACACTGTGCCAAAATGGCTGAACACGACTGACCTCAGCGTGGGACTCTCCTTCGTCGACGTGATCCTCCGAAAAATACAGAAGCCAACCACCGAAATCTGCCTCACATATTTTGTGAAGGTCATGTCGAACTGCTTCAAGTGCCTTCGCGCACACAGTCAGTGAAAAGTTTCGTTGTAGCTCCTCTACTCATTATTTTTCTGATGGGGCTTAAATAGGCTTAATTATTCTCTCTGTGTCGGTTAAATAATGGATACTGAAGTGCAATGAATTTTTCATAATCGCTTCTGGATGACTCCAGTAACACTGTTAGTTTGATAAAATTTGTGGGTACATCCAGCCTTTGGGTTAGGAAATCGGTGTGCTGAGCTGCACGCAAGCACTCTGAGTGTCTGCTAGTGAGAAATAAATGGAAATGTGGATCTTTGAAAGAAAACCAAGGAGTAAACAGCAGGTAGAACAACAGGAATAAGGTGTAAAATCCCATAAATTTTACGCACGTATCACACTTACCGCCAGTATATCTTAAGGAGCTCGTGCTTATGTCCAGTGGCTATGTCATAAATAAACATCTTCCAGTATCCAGTACATATATTAAACATCACGACTGCACAGACGGGATGGTATATCTTCCGCCGCATGGACGAGCTCAGAAAGTCGATTTTGCTTATCATAAAACTGTGGGTGATCCCGTGGATAGCGATCAACTTCTCCATGTATTTTTAAGAATTAACGCAGCTCTTTCAAATCCTCGTCTTCAAAAAAAAATGGGCACTGAGCAGCCTACCTCGTGTAGAAGCTGATATAGAATACTGAAAACATTAAGAGCTGCATACAGACTGCTCGATAATCTCTCCAATTCGAGATGATGCCGTATAATTCTTCCGCAAATAAATTTTGGAGAAGTCCCTTCCTGTAAATAAAGTTGACAAGACATGGGGGAATTTCGGCTTCCGACGATTTCCCAAACTCTCTAACGAACATTGGTCTGCGAACGGCACTGTTATGATCTATAATATCCACTCCGGTGGATACTGAATTATAATTTCTGTAGGTTTGTGGCTCAGGATTTACTTCTATTAGGATTGTATTGGGTTGCAACAGGTGTAAAGTTTCTTCAAAGTATCCTGGCATATAGATAATAACTTATATTTTTTAGCGAGGAGTTATTCTCTGGACATTTTGGAAGAATAATTTGGTATTAGAAATGTATTATGGATTTGCTTGTTTTCTGTCATTACCCAGATCCTCGTAAACTGTATTCTTGTTCAGCCCAATTCAAAGGGAAGAGGTTGAAAATTGTGTCCTCCGGTTATGGTATTTCAGAGACTGACGGTATAGACGTTCGCGAACAGTACAAAGCTATATTAACGCAACTTCTTATACCGACAACTTCCAATGTATTTCAATCTCGCGTACCAAAACAAGATAAAAGACAGTATTTGATCGTCCAAATTACGCGATATATTTCAGGACCAAAATGAGTTGTTAGACGAACGCTTAGCTGGCTAGTGATCGTGCACGAACGTGACACGACGGAGTGCCCAATGGCGGGATGCTTGACCTAAAGCCTTCAGCTAAACAAGTCGACTCAAACAGTGGTGGTCTGAATCCAATGTTGAGTGATAGCTGTGGTCAATAATTTTGGGGAATTATTTACCGCTACAGTATTTTGGTGTCAACAGATGGCAGACACAGTCGAAACTTTACTAAGCAGTCTGTAGCGCAGTCTAGTTGTGCATGAATCTCATCAGTAAATGTCATCTGGTGGGCTCTAGGGGTATCTAGCATTGATATCATAACAGTCTTTATCATGAAGCTTACCAAGGTGGTCGTCGTTTTTTTTAGTTCTCTACCTAAAGTATTGCAGTTCGCACACTCCGTCATAGGAAATCCATACGTTTTGTTCCTGCAGACATGAGATGGAAGCAATGGTGCCGTCTGAATGCTCTTAGGATCCAGTTACAGTCGTTGAAATCTGGGTACTTTCAATATTTGCTTTAATTCTCACTCACTGCACTTGAATCTTTTGGTGAAAAATTTTCATTTTAATAATAATTGGGATGACTATCCCAGTAAAACTCACTAATCCGTAAATAAGTGGTTAATTACTGGCTGATTTAATTATGCCTCCCCACATATTTTCTGCAACGCACTATCACTACCGTGCCCCCCAGGTCTATCTGATACCCTCGAAGAAAAGCGTAAGTCTCATAACGCAGACCGACTTGTGGCACCATCAGAATTTTACTGGCCGTTTCTCGTGTCAGTCACCTCTAATTCGGAACTCGGTCAATGGCTGCGGGTATCGGTGCTTAGTTGTTACTTCCCAACCTATTGACAGTACCCGCCAATAGCATTACCCCACTAAGGACGCTTTCATTTGACTGACCTGGGTGTAGATAGGTTTGAAAGTTTCTATTTCGAAGCGGTTTGGCTTCCCATCCATGCTAGCCGATCATCCTCACCTATCATCCTGTCTTTTCGTTCTTGCTATTATCGACAAATTCTTAGTCCTATTGCTTTTGCTCCGCGATGTGGGATACATTAAGAAATCCGCCCACGGCACCTTCAGACACATGGAGATATCAGCCTGGGGTTACGTGACGAAGCAGTACAAGTGCATAGGTGAAGTGAAATGAACTTGGCGCGTGGATTCGGAATTCATTTTCTAATACGAAATTAAAATTCTTACGTTCGATTAAAAAAGGAAGACCCGACGGTTATGAAAAATTTCATTTCCACGGTTTATCTGTGAAAGCCCTGTTGTCTTATTTTCGTTTCACAAATAAATCATAGTCAAATATAAATTATTATGTTCCAATTTACTAATAAACTGTCGCATAAAACTAATCACTAAATAACCAACATTTTTCGGGACCAAATTATTGTGCAAGGTCGATTGATTAACTAACACGAATCGTGCACAAACGGACTAACGAAACACGACATCATGACATATGGCGTGGATGCTTGACGGCGAGCATTCAGATAAACAAGTTTACTTAAACAATGAGGGTCAGCATCCGAATGTGAGTAATGAATGCTGTGGCTAATAATTTTCAGAATTACCTACAGCTGCGATATTAAATATGTAGCGATTTCCACTCATTTATTAAAACTCCACCATCGTTGAATCGTTTCTGTAAAACAGGAAATTCCATAACTGTGATTTTTCGTTAAAAAATGTTTTGTCTATCCGATATCCTTTATTTTGATTTATTTACACTTGCTAGCTACTTCTGAAATTCCGTTTTGGTTATTCGCCTAAGAGCTAAACTCCTTGGACATTTTTCTCAAGTACACTTGAAAGAATTTAGGTAGCATTTTTTACATCTTAGAGCACATCTTTTATCAATTTGAAGTTCACACCGTTGTTCCATTACCACTCCTAAGGCGATAAAATACAATAGGCCCGTCAGTAGTAAGGTACTAGGTGCGTTGTTATAATATAAGACTTACCCACCTTAGCATACTCAGTGTGCTCTAGTACTCATCTAATTAATAGATTACTTGACCTTTTCGTACTTAAAACAAAACACAAAATACTCAGTTGCTTAAGAATGCTCTAGGATTAAAACAAATTAAAAGTTAGGAAGCCTTTACGGGGATTTTTTAAAGTTATCTAGCTAATATGGCTGAGATGGAAACGCTGTGAATGTACATGTTAACAAACAATGTTTTAATTATTCGTAATAGTAGTATTAGTATTTCGAGATGACCGAATTAAAGGAATTCAACCAAAACACAAAGAGAGATGAATTTAGGAATTTGTATTTGGCAGAAATATATATCAATTCATATAAGAAATATATTAACAAACGACAATAAGTATTTAAACAATACAGGGATAGAAATTGTCAATCACCACAGTACTCAATTATATATATATATATCCCCTTTTCTTTTATTACCTACCAATGTCCGAATATGTTCACGTTTTATCTGGGGAACTGTCCCATTAAATGACAACTGCAGATTCCACTAGTGATACTTTCCTGGTAAAAAATTCTCCATACGACGCAAAATCTGTCATCTTCCTGGCCATTTGATTCAGCAGATTTACAATAGGCTACGGAGTAGATATTCCGTACTTGAATCCACAGAAGACTTCAAATCAATCTTTCACACCAAGAAGCGACAGCCAATGAATCAACAGATTTCATGTGAGTTCATCATCTCCCAACA